CTGGTGGCCCCAAAAGAATAGCGGAGGCTGTGGGGAGCTGGCCCCTGCTGGCCTCCTCTCTGGTCCTACCTGAGGTGTGTGTGATTTACAGCGTGCAGGGACAGACCGATCCACTGCTGCATGAGCAGACCGCCATTCCTTTGCTTGAAACTCATTAGGGATTTTAGTAGGGATTTCTTGTGCACTCTCTCACAGACACATGCCATTATCCACAGCTCAGAAAAGTCCCTACAGTAGTATATGCACAGTCCTGTGCTTTTGGCATGGGAATAGTGTCGTAATGAATGTGTCTTTCCTACTCTATGTTTCCATGACTTTGGCTGGAGAGTAAAGAGAGGTGTGCTATCCTTCTCACTGGGGATAAATCCACTGTTAATGAAACACTTGCTTACGACTGAGGCCTTGAAAGAAACCTTCTGCCTTAGGTGCTGAGATTTGACCTGCTCTATCTATCATAACACTCTGCCACAATTTACTAGATATTTGGCTGTACAAACTAACTGTACAAAGCTCTTTGCCTTCTGACGCCTATGGTGACTTTAAATTAAGACTGACTGACTGATGCCTTGTTGATTATATTTTTTTATATTTATATTGCTTAAATGTGGTTTGGGTTTCACTGATAAAAAATTTAGAGCGTTGTGTGAGGTGTCCATGTCTTTATGAGCAATTGTGTCTGCATAATTTAAATCTCTCTCATTTGGATTTTTTTCTACATTTAGCTTAACCTATATTTCTCTTATACATCAAAAGTCTGATGTATTAGGTGGAACTTCTAATCATGTGGTATTGTGGTGATGTGTGGTATTCAACTCCAGCCTTGCAGTTTTATAAATAGCAGGTATATTTAGAAGACAAAATAAATAGTCACCTAAAAGGGAAAGAGAGCCCCTAAACCTAACAAGTTCTTCTTTGACCCTCTAGGTCTTTCTGTCCAGGAGAATTGTATTCGAACTCGGGGAAATCACTAAACAAAGAAAGATGCAAACAGGAGTAAAATCCCAAGGCAGTGGAAGCAATAAATGAGCATGACTCAAGATTTTTATTACAGCATGAAAAAGGTGTTGCTTACTCCTTTAACCAAGAACTTTAATTGCATCTTTACCATGTGTTTCATATCAATGCCTTAGTATTTTTTTTATATTATATCAAATAGAAATTGGCAATTATCAGTATGATTAGCATTATTTTTTTTGTTACTCAATACACATAGCTTGTTAAAGCAGCACTTTAGTATTTGTGCCTTACAAAACCATAATTTAAAATTCAGTGTTGGAAATGGCCTTAGGTGTAAGTGTAAGTGTACAAATAAGCACATAGGCAAAATGAGTAATAGTTTTAACCACATGGGGTTAGCAGTCTTTCACAGAGTTGGACATGGAGGTTTAGTTGGTAAGTGGTAGAAACTGTTGTTTTATGGGGCATCTTCTCTTTGCCCACATGGACAGCAGTGGGAAGAGTGTTTGAAGTCAGCCCTGCTTCACCTCAGGGTGTGGAGATTGGCTATTGTTGTACATTTAGCACCACTGAGCAAGATGAATGTCTGGAGCACAGCATGGGAAAACACAGTATGTGTCAAGTGTGGTCATGTGTAAGCAATGTGGCGTCTGCAGAGCAGCTTTTTTTAAAAACTGCAATGGAAATTTAAAACAGAAGGCTCCTGAGCAGTCTTGTTCTATATTTTATATAAAACAGTGTTGTAGAACAGAACAAAATTTTAACCATTAGAGAAAAAATATTCACAGCCGCCCCACAGATGTGCCATTAAGTATAGCCACTTTCAAAACTGCTAACATTTATTTAGTCTTTGTCTTCAATTTTTTGTTTTTCTGAGTTTTCTGAGTTAACTTCAATAATGTGTTCCTCTAAACCATCGAAATGCCTTTAGACCCCTCAATTCTACTCAAAAACGTATACCATTAATTAATGCTCCAGTTTTAAATATGATGAATAAATAAACCTTTACTTAAAAGCCCTTTTTTTTGATTCAGCTGTCTTAGCTATATAGGCCAATTTCTTACCTTCTCTTTTTATTTCTAAAATTTTTGAAGAAGTAGTCAAATGATTACTTGCAAAGAAATGTTTTGTTTTTTTTCTTTTTGAAGATTTTAAGTCAGGATTTAGAGTGCATCATAGCACAGAAATGGAAATAGTGAATGTTACAAATGATCTTCTTACTGCCTCTGACAGTGGGTTCATCTCTGTTATTGTCTGGTTATATTTGAGGTGCAGTGTTTGATCCTGTTGACCACAAAATCTTACTACAGAGATTAGAACACAAAATTGTTATTTAAAAAAACAACAATGCAGTGGTTTAAATTATATCTGACAGATTTTAATTTGTGCAGGGTAATAGGGAGTCCTCACACAGGTTAGTCATGGAGTTCCACAGGGTTCTTTGCTGGGACCAATACTTTTTACATTGTCCATGCTTTCCTTAGACAATACTATTAGAAAACACTGCATATATTTTCATCGCTATGCAGGTGATACCTAGCTTTAATTATCTATGAAGCCAGATGATACAAATTTAGTTAAACTATAGCTTTAATGACATAAAGGCCTGGATTAGCTCTAATTTCCTGCTTTTAAATTCAGAAAAAGCTTAAGTTTGTGTACCTGGTCCTACAAATCTTCGAAATTTGGTGTGTAACCAGATATTTACTTTAAATGGGATTGCTTTGACCTCCAGTACTGTGAGAAATATTTAATGATTACATTAAACAAAAATGTAGGACAGCCTCCATTCATTTGTGCAATATTACTGATGCTTCATTTATTCATGAATGTAACACTTCTAGGCTACACTGTTGTAATTTATTATTAGGCCCCTTTACTATGTAGCCATATCCCAGTTGTGATTTGGGAGATAAACAGCCTCATTAATTTTCAGATTAGGCTTAAAACTTTGCTTTTTGATAAAGCATATAGTTGGGTGGTGGATCAGGTGACCCTAAGCCATCCCTTGGCTATGATCCAATGGATTCGGGCTGCTTGGGGGCTTCCAGTGATACATGTATGAGTGGTTTGTTTTTTTTCTTCACTGTTTTAACTCCCTGTTTATTTATACATCACTGCATTTAATTACCAGTAACTATTAAACTCTGGTTCTTTCTCCCATTCTTGTCTTGTCTCTTTTTGCTCTGGGTTTTCATGTCTAAATTTGGTTCTGTCTGAGGTTTTTCCTTCCCGCTGTTTCCAAGTGCTTACTCCTGGGGTTGTGCGATTGTTCGGGTTTCTTTCTAATATTGTAGGATCTTTACCTTACAATATAGAGCACCTTGATTGTTGTTGTGATTTGGTGCTGTATAGATAAAACTGAATTGACAGTCTAGACATTGTTTTGTTTTTTTCTAGCGTTAAGCAGATATGACATGAACTTTGTAGACGTCTTTCAAAGGACACGAGAAGCTGGTTTAGAAGCTAACATCAGCTTATGGATCTTCTCCAGCATCAGTTTTCTTGATAATCATTACATCATCTTTAAAACAATAATGATGTGCATTGCACAATACCTTGCTTTTGAGTAGTTCTACAAAATATTTTCAGAGCTGAGCCCACATCCTTTTCTTGACAACACATCCTATCGAATTCTTCCACACAAATGAATACCTGGAACTCTTGATCAAAGCGCACTGCCAAGGTGCACACTGACTAACCTTTTGCAAGACCCTTAATTTATTCATATATGTGTTAGTATGACACAGAGTAGATTACAGATGACTTACAGAGCCGTTTGTCATGTTAACGTTATCTGGTGCCAAAGTTTTGAAAAGGATACTTCTCTAAATCTAAAGCCCTCCATATTTACTAGCTGCTCTATTTTTTCCTTTTCATTTTTGTTGCCAAAACTCTTCCTGATTATATTTCCACTGTGTCAACATGCACAATAAAGCTGGCTTCTAAAAACACCCCTTTAAAAATCACTAAAGTCAGCATAAGTTCCCACATAGCCGCACCTTTCCTCTGTGCCTGCCTGTCTGGGTAGAAAAAGTACTTTGCCACAAACATGGAACACAACAGTGCATCCAACACAGCCTGGCATATCACTGAAAATAATTGAGATAGTTTTGAGGTTGTTGGGGTTTTTTGTTTTGTTTTGGGTTTGTTTGTTTGTTTTTGGTTGAGAGGCTAGTTCTAGGTGGATAATGCATACTTTTGTGTGCTTCATCCTCCCTGTGACACCAAGACTGCATTGGAGGGAGAACTGGCTATCCTTATTTAGGTCAAAAACACCATTCTGCCTTATGGTGCATTGACACAAATTCATTTTTGTTTTAAAATGTGAAATGTTTATTACTTTAGAGCTGTACCGGGTTGGTCGTATGAATCACAAAAGCTCATATGAAGCTTGATGATGCTAGCCTCGCATGTAATTGGTGATTCGTTCTTCTTGTATTCTGACGAGAGATAATGTAGTGCTCTGATGCGGTCTTCTCTCTGGAATACCTACCTATGTTTTTGTCACCATGATCATACAGCAGCTGTTCTGTAAAATGATGTAATGGATTACATTTAAAACAGCTTAAAGATGTCTTTAGTTTTTGACTGTATAGCTTAAAACGTTTTCTATTGTATTTAGTTTATGCATTGGGTATAGGTATGAATATTTGAATGTAGTTTGTTTGCTGTAATACTTCTGAAGTTATTATATGGCAACTTGCTTTATGTAATTTCATATAATAGTTATTATATAACCAGATATATTATCTATTAGTTATACATATTTTATTTTCATTCTTTTTTTTCTTTTTTCTTTTTTTTGTTATATGAAACTGTTTGGAGTGTAGGGACCCTGAAAAGTAATTAAGGACCAAATTGTATAAGTAATTAAATTCAGTTCAACAGTTGTCTTAGGGTAATAAATGGATAACAAAAAATAAAATAACTTTGGCATGAAAATATGACAAACTTTAATGTAAAATTGAAGAATTGTGCCATTGTTCACTGGTATATTTTGTGGCTAAATTTCTGCCTTTATGTCTATCTTGTCTTCCCAGATACAGACCCATGTCTCCTGGAGAAGCAGGAGCAGCAGCAGCCAACATATGTTGCTCTTAGCTATATCAACAGGTAAAGAAACAAGTTTCCTTTTGAAATAACCCCACTGAAGGTTAACTTAGTAATGCAGTAACTCACTTTTCAGTAAAGTGACTTTAATTTACTAAAATCTGACAAAATCATAAGATGAATATTATTAGTGGTTTGCCTGAAAAGATTTAACTAGAAAAGTTTGTGCTGTACTCCTTTGAGGTTCTACCAACAATCTAAAAAACGTCATCTGGTGGATTGCTTAAATGAATTGCTACAGTATTTGGCAGTTGGGTGTTTTATTGCACTGCGTTCATCCTGGTTGTCTTTGATATGCTGCTTGTGCAGTCGTTTTAAGAGCCTTATGCAGCAAACCATTGTACAAGAAGGTCTGCCTCTGTCTCCCTGCTCACACAAACACATCTTGATGTGGCTATCACCTAATTTGTTAATTCCACATTTGCTTTAACAGTGTCTATATTAACATTTTGGTTTTATGGTGCACATTTGCTGACGACTTTACTGTCAATCATAAAGCCCAAAGGGAAATGCAGCCACTGATTTTTTTTTTTCTTAAGCAGTACCAAACCTACAGTACACTAGATTGTAGTCTGAATGAGATGATGCTCTTTTTTTTTTTCCATCCAAAAAGTTTGCAAACCCTTACAAGTTTTATACCTCACAACGCCAGGTTCATGACAGATGCTGCAAGGCGAGAACACGAGGCCCTGAAGAAGAAGGTGCAGCCCAAGTTGTCTCTGTCTCTTACAGGCAATCTGTCACGTAGCAATGTTTCCACACCACCCCGCCACACCAGTGGAAACCTCACCCCTCCAGTCACCCCACCCATCACCCCTTCTTCTTCTTTCCGTAGCAGCACACCTACAGGTAACCATAATCAACACACTAGTTCATCTAATTAGGTTTCCAGGATAGGATGTGTATTTCCAGATGCTTAACATTCATGTATTTTTCTAACTGAAGCTACAGTTAAATGATTGGTTACTAAAGTTTGTCATTCCTGGTGTTGATCCTTGTGCTGAGTCTTTATTATAAGGAAATCTAATAGTTTACTGTTAACACCTAATATTTATTATATGTATCTCTCTGTTTAATATCCATGTTAAAGCCAAAGTTTCTGTTTTTAGTATCATCTAAATGAATTATCCTGTAAGTAAATCAGCTAAAAAACACAGGTTGAATAACAAAAAATATTTTTCTGTGATTGACAGTTTTTGTTTTTGTTGAATTAAGTTATCCACATGCAACACTACCAAGAACAAAGCTCACACAGTCTGTGGGCTTTGTCTTTTTGCTACATCCTGCTGAAAGAACTATTCTACTAAAAGAAGTCCTTTCAGGATCGGGAAGTCCCACGATCAGAGAGTTTTGCTGACTTTGATCAATTCCCTGGGAGAAATGTTCCCTGACTCGGGCTGAGTTGGTGCTGGTAATTCCAGTCTCCAGTGTGGCCTCTGCAGCAGTCTTCCTCATTGAGCTTAATTACAAGCAAGCAGCCACTTTGAGTCTGTTTAGTTTGTATTTGCCTGTTCAGGCACTATAGCTGCAGTGTTTTATTGCCTCGGCTGTCACTATATAAAAAAATCTTTCATGTGTCTGGTGTTGACATGAAAAGTGACCACATGGTGTCTGTGTTCATCTTTTCTTTCCATGCCCTCATAAATGCATAATCTATTCTTTAGATTAATTATATGATTGAATTATTACATGTTTTTTAAATACCATTAAAAATTAAAAGGACAAACATCATAATAGATCATGATGGATTTTTTATTTTTTTATTTATTTTTTTTTTGGGGGGGGAACAGTGAGAAAGTTCTGGAGCTTGCTGGGCCTGACTTGACATCCATAAAGAAGCTCGCTGTAAGGCTGCAAAAAATCAGGGACAGCCCTTAAAGTCCAGCTAATTAGGTTTCTTTATTTAGCTTTATAAATAACAGGACCCCCCTTTTATTTTTTTGCAGCGTTTTCCCACGTACTTCTGTCTTCTTTTTGTGAAGTATGCATTTTTCTGGAATGGCATCTTTAATGAATTAATAAAACAATAGCAGCGTGTTGACCTAAGACCTCAATGAAATGCCTAAATTCTTTCCCACAATTTGCATATTTCAGTCTTTCCAAAAACTTGCAACAAATGAAGTCAAGATTGTGGGAATGCTATCCTTGAACACATGCTGTGAAGGGTCCACGTTGGTCAGGCTGAAAGCTCAGAGGCCAGGGTTTCATCGTCATAGAAAATATGCATAAAACAAAGCTTCTTGGAAGCAGGTTTGTGTAATATAATCCTGGTGAAGATGCCCTCAGGCGTTTGCTATTTGACTTTAAATCTTTCACCCTCTAACAGGAAGTGAGTGTGATGAAGAGGATGTAGAGTTTGAGGAGTCTGACAGTGATGAGTCATGGACCACAGAAAGCGCCATCAGCTCCGAGTCCATCCTCAGTTCCATGTACATGAACGGAGGAGATGAAAAGCCTTTTGCATGCCCAGTTCCAGGATGTAAAAAGAGATATAAGGTAAGTTTCATTCGTGGTCTCTTAAATCTTATTAGGATGCCTGTTGTAAACATAATAAAACGGTGTGAAATATCTTTATCATGACCAGAGAGACCAAATGAAAACCAGACATATTTGCATTGTATTAAGTGTGAGAGATGTGATTTTATTTACTTTCAAAATAAATCCAGCCGATTCCCTGCTGTTGACAATGGAAAATTGGTTCTTAGTTGAGCATTACAACAACAGAAATGCATACATCTAGTCCACTTCAGAGATGTGGAGTTTTTATAGCATTTTCCATCCACATCTGGTGTATGTGGTTGGAATAAATTATGTGCAGCCTGAGAAAATTGCATTGCTGACGTGAATGACAGGGTTATAGGCGATGACTTAGTCTGAGGTAGCAGGCAGCCTTAGGCATCTGTTTAGCAGTAAAACAAGATAGATTTGAAACAAGAAAACATCTTGTCCTACATTCAGATGTTGACTGGTAAATATCATAGATATACCCAAGTCTGTGAATTCCTTTAATGCTACACTATAGACTACCCTACCCTAACCCTACACTATATACACTATATTTTAGATCAATCATAATATCCCTTGCCTTTTTCATTTTGGTATGACCATGATTTTAAAATACCGGTCTCTAAGAATGAAGATGGGTATATAACTATATCTGTAGGTGCGTATAATTTTCAGAATTTGTGATTTTTGCGGGGCAGGAAGGACTGTGATGGAGGCCACAGTTCTGGGAAACAATCTGTTCCTCAGCCTTCAGACCTTTGGATAAAAGGAAACAAAGGTTTAGAGCCAAGCCAGCTAATTTCTGCAGCGATGTTCTGAAATCTGACCTTCTAACAATTCTGACAATTGGAACCTAATATAACTATACTTTTATGCTCATACTTTTGGACTGGCTAATCAGACGCACATGCGTATAGTTTTATGTGTCAATATTCTTTTCTCCAAGCAGTGCACACCAGAATTTAAAAATCAATAGCTCTCCTCCTCCAGCTCTCCCCTTTCTGTTCTGAGCGTCTCCTATTAAATGATCATAAGCATAATCATCTGCTTTATATGCACCAGAAATGTGTCAGTGAAGAGTTTTGGCTTAACATGTGATTATTTCCAAGTAAAAACACTTTGCATTGCTTTGGTTTTGTAATCTATGCAGGGGAGAACACAACCAGTTTCCTCCATAAGTCACAGACTACTATAAATAAACTAATCACCTTTTGAAAAAAAGGAATATGTATATCTGCACTAAATAACAGTCTTTCCACTAACAAGGACAACTCTATAATATTAATTTTAATATTTTAAAATACATCAACTAACCCAGAGTCCTTGAGAGTCAATGCAGATGTGAACTAACTCTACACATCTTCCATTCGCAGAGAGAGAATCCTGGTCCTCTGACTGGTTAAATTACAATAGCTTCAAGGTTATTTTGTTGTGTCTTTGGATGGTACGTGTCTAAAGTGGTGGCTCTTTCATTTCCTTGTTCCATTACAGAATGTAAACGGAATTAAGTATCATGCCAAGAACGGCCACCGAACTCAGATAAGGGTGCGCAAACCCTTTAAGTGTCGTTGTGGGAAGAGCTACAAAACATCTCAGGGTCTCCGCCACCACACAATCAACTTCCACCCACCCATCTCTACTGACATGATCCGCAAGTTGCAGCAGTAGAGCCTGAGTGAGGTACCAGCACTTGCCTTCAGGCTATGTCAGCAACCATCAACAGACCACTATCACCAGCAGCAGCTGTCTCCCCCTTTTCTTCCCCTCTCGTTGTATTTTACTACACTACACACTATTGCATGGTATAAACATATTATTGTTCTTTCATATCTTTTATTCAGAATGTTGAATCTTTATTTTGTTCACATTTTTGCATTTTGCACATTTAAACTATCATTTATTTATTTAGCATTTGACAGATGGTGAAGGCATGTGTTAGCCCAGGTCACAAGTAGCCTTACATGTACTGCTGGGCATTCTGGTTTAAAGGGAAGGAGAGAAAAGATTGGGATAATTGTTGAGAAAGGAAGCAATCATACCATGCATTTGTCACATTGAAGAGTTTCTTTTTTTACGATAAAATGTGACTGAGACAAATTCAGTGTTTTATATAATGTTTTATAGCATGAAATCCAGCATAAAAGCATTATTTGGCAATCTCTAATAGGCTTAATGTTACTGATCATTTGTTGGACTTATTGTAGTTACTGTTCCTTTCATATCACAAGAATTCAAAACATTTTTGATAAGTTTTACTTTAAACATGTGTGTGAGCACCAAAAGAATGTTCTCAGGTGATTTTTTTTTTTTTCTTTGCTAACATTTCAGCATCATAATCCTGCCCAAGTGTTCTGATAGTATTTAAGCTGTCATTGTTCCTCATGTTCCTGACAGCTTCCCTGAAGACGTAAGCAGTTTTCCATGCTTATTTACAGTAAGGGATTGAAGCACTTTTATAAAAGTTGCCAAATAAATTAGCATTTTTACCAACATCTTGTTTCTAGTGTATATACAGTGAGTGTAGAGTTGCACGTTCTACATTGCTCCAAGGAAAGATGTACATCAATCATTTCATCTTTTCAGTATTGTAAGATTTCTGTAATAACAGCAGTTGCCTTGAAATGTAAACCATTCCAAAAAGTCTTTGTATAACTTTATTTTCAAAGCTGCTGAACACAGGCAGTCAGCCCACTCTGTTTACTATTCACTGACTGCCTGAGGCCTGAGTTATGAAGCAGGTTCACCATACCCACAATATCTATGCCATAAGTGAACCCAGATAAGGTAATCAGGCAGAGGTGGCTTTCAGCTTAGTAGCTGTGGGATGGCGTTGGTAGCATCTGACCAATCAGAAACATGGACAGGTCTTGTGGCAACAGATTGATATTAAAAAGGAAGCTTTTTATATTTTTCTAAAATTAAAGACATGATACAAACTGAAAAGCAGCACAGCTGTGAGTATGTGTAGTAACAAAAAGCACTATAGTATATCAGTGCTGTATGGATGTGTTTGAGCTTTAAGTACTTTTTTGAAAATGACTGAAAAAGCACTTTTATTGAAGCTATGAAAGAAAACTAACAAGAATGCTGACCCTGCAAGTTGGAAAACTTATCAGTATCAGCTTTATACTTAACACACAGGACAATCTAATAGTTTACCATAAATAAAAAAAGGCTTAGCCTATATGCAAAGTACAAATGGGTTCCCCTTTTAGGATTATATATTGTTTCTTTAAAAGAATAACCGGAATATAAGAAAAGTGCTTCTATGAATTTGCATTTCTTGACGTGATCAAGAAAAACCTCAAATCTTCCAAGAATGGGAACGCCATTTTCCACAGAACTGATTGGTTAGATTTCGTACCTGTTGGATTATTATCTCAAATACAGGTTAGGTGTATGTGATAAGTCAACATGGCGATGTACGTTGCTAAGAAGTGAACCTCCTTATTGAGTTGATAACCCAGGTTTAGCAGATTTTTCCTGGATAAGCCCAAATCCTGTTTCATAGTACAGGTCTCAGGTCTCACAAAACTAGCTGTCTGTCATGGATAATGGGAAAAGAGGAACTAGTGTCAGTATATTCAGCACATTTGCATTCTCATAGTCCTGCTCTTAGGCTGCGAGGGAACACATGCAGCTCTTAGTTTGTGCCATAAAAATGTGTTAGCCATTTGTAAAGACTTAATAATTAAAGTAATTGAAAACCGAGCGTGAAATTCTCGAATCTGAGCCACTAGGTTATTTTCACAGCTTGGTGTTTGTGTTAAGGAACTAAAGTCCAAATAGGAATCATGGCAAAACTGAACTGCCAGTATGGAGACAACTCTTTGATATAGTGTACAGTGAATGTATTGTCTAGTGTCAAGTGCATTAAATTATATTTTCATATATTTCTGAAGTTTAAAAAAAAAAGTATGGAAGTATATATCTGAAACGGTAAAACCAGAGGTGGTGACGTACTGTATTTCTTCTTGAAGCTGCTTCATGTAAACGTTTGTTACTTTACAATAAAGGTTTCTCTGCTCTTCTGACGTTTGCATTATTAACTCTTTGGACACAATTCAGTTTTAGACAGATTTTATTAATTCATTTTAGATACATGGAACTCACTAAACTAATGAAACATTTCTATGAATGAAATAAGTTATTACTGTAAAAGAAAAGAACAAAAGGAAGGTCAACAGAAGCTCGGCATGCAGCGATTAGCTGATGATATGAAAGTTCTTAAAGATTCAGACACAATTAAATAATTCAAACCCAAAGAAAAGGAAACCTAAAAGTCGTACATAAATTATCAAGGCTGTCACAATATTGTTGGCTTTAATTATTCTAAAATAGATGATCTGAGCATATACTGTATAATCATGTATGGATATAATCACTGAAGAGTTCTCCCTGACTGCATATAGTGCACCAAGGTTGCTGTCTGACTAAATGACGTGTACAGTGTAAGGGGGCAGATTTGGCTGCATGTTTGAAATGTAAGTTTGGTAAACACTTATCTCTTTCCCTGATTCATTACATCGTGTGGACTAAAAGATCTGTCCGTTTAAAGTCCGTATATATGCGTACAACAGTCTTATCCCCCAAAAGTATCCTTAAAATCCAAATTAAATGAAACCTTCCACCTTAAAAGAAAGAAAATGGTGTGAAAACAAATTTGGTAGCCCTGCCATGTCACTGAATCATTTTCATTTTTAAATGTTAAATCAGCTCCAAGTATTTCTCTAAGGTGAAGTAAAAAAAAAAGAAAAAAAGAAGCAAAATTCAGTATAGTCCTAAAGAGAGGATCTTCACACCATTACATGCAAAAAAAAAAAAAAAAAAAAGAGGAAAAAAAAAGAAAAGTGTTGTGAGTGGTTGACAGGAAGTAAGCAGACTGGATGTGCTGATTTTCTGTTTATCTAGTCGAAGTTTAGCGGGTGGCTGTCGAAGTGAGTAAGCACGTGATTCTCAAACACTTTCTGGTCGCAGTCCAGCGGGAACTGCTCGCTGCACATGGGGCAGATTTTCCAGTGGCTCTCCACGTGCTCCTCAAACTTACTCTGGTCATAGTTGGGTGGGAAGATGACCTCACAGAGGGGACATCGTTTCATGTCCATGCTGCGCGTGGGAAGTGGATGGCAGAAGAGAAAGAGGGGAGAGAAAGCTCACGTTAATAAGCAGTCAAGCAAAGACGTGGGCAAAACAGGAGCACGGCTAATAAAGAGCATCCGTCTGATGCAACGTGGGTGGCCTGCGCTTCATCTAATGGGGTGGGGGGGGTGCTGCAGACGTTTTTACACACGTCAATACACAAGTTTAACACACTTGGAGAGTTTGGTTATTATCAAGGTGTGTTACCTGGGATCAAAGCAGAAGGCATTTTGTCCATCATTCACAAATGTGCTGTGAGTTTCAGTTACTGTGGGCTGTTCGCTGGTATTACCCTGAGAGAGCAGCAGAGACAGGGGGAGACGCAAAATGGCATTAAAATAATCAAACGCACATGATACAAATTAGAAGTACTGCATACTGCACATGGGAGAGAGAATATTACATTATTGTTTTGCTTTTCCTCTGACTCCTCATGGCCTTCTGGCCGGCTGTGGTTGCGGGTAGGCTGGATACACACCACATTGCTGTCCCAGGATGGCGGGCCTACAGGGGGCAGCCTAAGTGGCTGGTCATCTGAGAACTCATCCGCATCATCTGCAGGAGGATTTTCAGAGACACGGCTACTGTAAATAAAAAGTCACTCATCTCTGCAATGTTTAGTGAAGACTTCTGAAAAGAAAACAAACCTTTTGAGTCCGAGATGGAGTAAGGGTTCCCAAAATGCAGCTTGCTGGGGCTCTGAGAAACCAACAGAGGGGTAGGGGTATCCTGTGCATACGGGACAGGGTACTGCAGGAATAAAGGCACACTGGACTGGAGGTTCTCCAGACTGGTTTTCTCACTGGTCCCCTGATCTCCCTTCCTGCTGCTGCCCTTCTGGAGCTCCTGACGCAAAAGGGGAATTGAAACAATTTCTTCACAACAGCAAAAACCACTGACAAAATTCAGTCCCATCATGTGCATATAGTGAGAACACTTTGTTTTAACATGTCTTTAAGATATAATCTTAATTTCCAGAAAAAAAACTGATTGCATTCACAGCCCAGTACAACCACACACTAACCTGCTGCTGACCATGGAGCAGCTCCACTGGAGCCTAACGCACTGCTTTTTCACTTGTTCCACTCAGATTCTATCCTGCTGGTCTCGTCATGAAACCCGCAGCCTTCCAGACAGAGAAGCTGCTTTTCTAACCTTTAGGGCATCGCGGCCACATATCTGATTCTATCTCAGTGTGGCTCTCCAGCTAAAAAGGCAAAGCCACATCATCCCAACACAGAGCTGTGACTTTTTTTGGGGGGAGGGGGCTTTTTGTTGTGCTCACAAAAGCAGTTTAATTAACACCTTCATTAAAAAGAATTTTCTCACTTTCAAAGGGAACAGGATTCTGTGTTTTTATGTCAGTAAGAGACGCCAAGTTAATTTACAGTCTAAACCTCAAATTGGGTCATTCTCCTCCTCTTAACTTTAGCAGCATTACCTCAAAGCAACATTTTAGGTCAGTGAGGACCTTGCTGTGGCCTAAAGTAATGGAATGGAAAATAAGAAGTCATTTACTCTGCATCTACAATTAGAGGCATATTAAACACAGACCAGATTGGGAGAGGGGAAAATGGCAGGGGAATGGCACATTTCAGGCAATTTTTAAAATGGAAGGAGTCTATAAAAGAGAAAATGAAAGCTGTCACTAACCCCCTCCAGTTTTTCCTTCTCCTTCATAACAACCACAAGTGTGTCCTTAAGCTCCTTTAGCTCCCGTCCCTTCTCAGCTACCTGGCTCTGTAGAAAGTAAAGGGCACAAAAGCAGAAGAATGAAGAAACACTTTATATACTTAAACTCTTGATGTGCTGCTGATTAAAAAATGTGTAAGTGAAATACAGTCAGACCATAGTGCGTGACGTTAATTGATCACAGCCATAAAAGGCTTCTCTTTGCTGAGGACTGATTTATGCACAATACTGCTCAGAGCAAAACAACCTGCTTGAATCCCTGTGAGACACTAAGCAAATATCCGCCTGACCTGAGCCAAGCACAGCATTAGCCAAGCAACCAGAGATGAGTCCTGTGAGCCAAGACTTGCTTGTCTCCAGAGCCTGACATAAACAGCAGTAAAATGTCGTCTTACAGATCGTCCCGCTCATAAACAACACTGTCAGAGAAACTGTGTTCAAGGGGAGAGATAGCATCAAAGGCTAGATCCTTGAGCTATACCAGCCATACACAGCGGTAAAAACACAGAAGAGTCCAAATCAGGTCTGCTTTGAAGGAGAGCATCACTGGCAGCTGACAGCTTGGGCTGTGCTAAGTGTCTGCACTCTGCCTACACTAACCTTATAACGATCTTCCTCTGCTGCCAGCTGCAGCTTCAGGTTCTCGTTGGTCTTCAGTTGC